GGAGAGAAAAACATGAGAAGGCGAAGCAGTAGGAAAATAAATGATAGTAGGAAAAGCAATCTACCAAAACCAAAATATCCAGGCAAAAACCAATAGCGTGGGGAAGTGGTGGGCCTGGGGTAGATTCCTCCTTTCAGCAACAGATGCCCGACAGATTCACCTTGTCAGAAAACTGGGCCATAGCAAGGAACTAGTATCTGCAAGGAAGAGGTCCAAGGGAAATCCGAATCAGTGTGTATATGCTGAAGGCTGTGGGGTTTTGAATGCTTTTCCATGCATGCCTTCTGTAGTGAGGACCATGTGAGTTGCACTTTGCTTTACAGAAGCTGTTCTAAGTTAGTCCAGGTACTGCTGATCCCAGCTACCAGACTGAGCTGGATCTCCTGAGAAACCATAGTCTTTTAATCCCCCAAGTCCGAAGCCTAGGGCCTTGGCCCGAGCAGTGGGGAATTACTGGCTTTCTACTCTGAGAAACATGAAGACTTGATACCGTATGTTCACTTATAATGGCACCACTCTCCTGTGGTCTGCTATCTGTCTTAATTTCCTTATGCTTTGCTTGTCTTGGCACTTTGTGCTCCTTTCTTTGTCCATGTTTTAATTTCTTTCTTTCCCCTCACAATTTGGGTGATTTATTCCTCTTTTCATTCATTTCCCCTCTTCCTGGTTTTCTCTTTTGGTTTCTCCCTCCACCCCTACCTGACTGTATATGTTAATCTCTTTTTTTTACTGTTTTCATGTAGTGTGCTTCAGCACTGCTCATTTCCTCAACCGTGCCTTCCTTACTGGGTTTATATTTTCAGTCCTGTTAGCTTTTTCATCTGTTTCTCTGAAGAACGCAGGGTAGTTTTATATAGGGAATGAAGTTTGCCAAATAGCAGTACTGCTGTCTGTGAAGTTGCTGTGTCTCTGTCACCAACTCTGATTTGAGATTCTCTTGCCCTTTCGCTATTTCTTCCAGTGCTTGTTTCTGCTATGGGTTTAATCAGGAACTAATCTGTCTGCAAAGAAAACATGGCAAAAAGAAGTGTTCACTTTTCAGCCAGGTTATTTCTCTAGAGTAATTCATAACTTGGCACCAAAAAACAATCTTGGCACAATGAGGGATGGATTTTTGAGGCTCAGCAGACTGTTGGGCTAAAAGGTGGGATTGCTTACACCTGCTGTGCCATCCAAAAATGAACAGGAAAGCATGTGGTCAAAGCAGAGCATTTTACACTCCTGAGAGTGTAATATTCTGCTTTTCTGGGCTGTTGGTTCTTCCCCTCATAATGTTCATTTTCTTAATAGTTAAGCAGGTGTTAGGAGGGAATATTAAGTTGGAGCAATTCTGGTCTGTGTATTCACAAACCCTGATAATGAATCACCTGTCAGTAATCAGAAATGACCCGATGGTGAATCCTGCTCACGGTTTGTAACTCTCCTGGTGTGAGTGATAGTACCAGCCAGAGCCAGTCTCAGGTATTTGGCAGGTAAAGACAGCCACTGGGGCCTTACACAATTCAGGAGTGGTAGGAGATAAGTAGAATATACATAAGTGGTAGTAAAAGGGAAAGCTGCCAGCAGTTTAGTTTTAAGTTACCTTGTGCTTTTCACTGTAAAAGCTATATTGTGATATCCTTGTCTATAAAACAGATCATGGATGTTAAGAAGGTACTGCAGAAGTGTCTGCTGAGGTATTTCTGGTTTCAGCCATTAGGAAGTACTTGGGTGCTCTAATTTCATGCTCCTGCATGTATTCCTTTTTTTTTTAAATTTTCTTCATGGATACTAATTTATTGCTCAGAATGGACTCGTGGGAGCCGAATTAAAATAATATAAAACCTCTTAAATCTGCCACTTCTACATTTCAAGTGGCCAACTTTTCAATCTGAATGTTGTTTGGATATTGGAAAAACAAAATAGAGTTTTTCTGGATGACATTTTTAGTTATTGTTGCAAGCAAGGGCTGTAAAGTTTACTTTGGAGTGTTAGCTCTCAGTTTAGGCAGACTTTCTGTTTATCGGCTCTCCTATGAGTTGCTACCAAGAATGCAGCCTCCTCCTTAGTGGTGGTATTGGTTACAATTATTTCCTGATGGAAAACTTGAAGTTAACTAACACAGAACTTGCTGAAAATCATGCGCTTAATATTTACTGTTCTGCTTTGTTCCTTCCCCAGAGTTATTAATGAGTCACTGGTTCAAGAATAGTGTGCATGGGCCTTTAATGGAAAGACATAAAAAAGAGCAGTTTTACATTTCCTTAATATGGTACATTTTTAAAGTGGTACAGTAAATCATATGCAGCCTTACATTCTTTGATGTTTTTCCTCTAACTAGTCCATTAAAACCACCATTCCCACAGTATGAATTTACTAAAGGGCTGATTCTTCTGTTTTATATTCAATGGCAAATAATAAAAGGCCTTAGTATGAGGAAAAAACTGTAAGAAAAGCTGCTCCTTTGGTTTTTTTCTCATTTTTTAGAGGGAGTGGTTGTCTGCTTTGTTTTGGGTCTTTTTCTTACTGTACTAAGGGCAGGTGTTGTGCTATGTCTATAGTATGTCTATAATTAAAGTTTGTATGCAGAATACTTTCCTTTGTCATATTAAGATCTTTTAACAGAAGTCACTGCCGTTTTGAAACCTCTTGTATTTTGATGCCTTTAAAATAAAAGCAAATAAAACCATATTCTTCAAAGTTGACCACTGGCAGGAAACAGTTTTCACTGTCTTTTAATAATGATGGTTTTTCTGAAGACAGATTGCTAGCAAAAATAAGGTAAGATAACTGAATTCAATGACTCTAAAAAATCCTCTTTACAACTCCACTGATTTTTTCCTTTTTCTTTTTCCCCCTCTTCTTTTTGGAAGTAATGTTATTTTACAATATATGCCAGAAAAGCTGACCACAAAATCCGGCTTTCTGGTAGAGTGAAGCCAGAAATGAAAATATGCAGTCAAGGAAAATGATGAAATTTTTTTGACTAGTAGACTGCTTGATTTACCATTCTTTCCCACCTCTATTGAAAAGATGTTTCTTATGGAAGACTAACTCTGATGAAGAAACTCCTTGTTCTATGATCAGTAGCTACAAATATGAAGGGATTAAATCCTGATGAAATTATTATCTTTGTTTACTTCCACCACTGGTGTGTGACACCTGGTGTCCCACAGATGCCACATGTATAGGTGGGTTTGTAGTCAGAGTTAGTATGCAAAATATTTGTAATGCTTGGTGTTAAGATGCTACAGATAATAATCACTGCCATGGTAAAACTGCTGTATTGATACCTTTAAAATAGAACATGATAAAACCATTTTCTCTAAAGAAGTCTGTGCTTCAGTTCTCTAGGCTGAGTCCCCTCCAGCTCCCTCAGCCGTTCCTCATCAGACTTGTGCTTCAGACCCTTGCCCAGCTCTGTTGCCCTTCTCCAGACACAAAACAGATATGTGCATATACATATAGTTGGCAGCAAGGTAGCCCATATTCCTCAGATGAGGGTTTTCAGAGGGAATAGGAACTTTTATTTGTGATGAGTGCAGTAAAGGACCTTCACTCTATCAATGCTTGCTCTTTTTGTTAGTGCTGAAATAGAATTTGAATACTTACTACCAGTGCTTCTTTGTGGGTTAATGAAAGGATGGATATTTTAGTGTTAAGTTTCTGTTACTACATTCATTCATTAACCATATGTGATATCCACAGGGGCTATAGACCAAAGTCAATAGTGCTGTTGGTTATAGCATTTCTTTTGTACCACCTTATGAGTCTTGGCTCTGACATTTTCTGTCTAAGTGTTAATGTGTCTCCCATCTCTTCAAAGCACAAAAAAATACACATATGTTTTTTTTCTATGTTTCTCACTTCCCTTTCCTGCCCAAGCAAAGGAAAGCAAGCCACTGCTATGCTTGGTCCCAGGTACCTGGGAATGGGCTGCTGTTTTTGTACACACACTCCCTTCTGCAACTGTACTTTTTCCATGAATTAATCCTTGGGGTTGTAACAGTACTATTACTTCTCTTGAGTGCAAGCACACCATTTTACTGGAGTGTTTGTGTTGGTGTGGTGTTTCAGCTGTAATTTCTCCTCACTAGGTGTTTCTGTTGTGTGAACTGAAATTTTGAAGTTACTGTTGCTTAGTCTTGAGCGTGGCAAAATCATATTTGTGTTCTTGTTGTACAAATATGGGGGAGTGGGCTATAGTTAATTTTTAAGCATTGAACTTGATTTTGGTAGGAAAAAGAATGTCTCAAGTGATAAGAGCTTAGCTGAAGACCTGAAAGTCTTGCTTGATTTACCACTGGTTTTGATCCTGGCAACTTGTAGAAATTAGACTGCTCTGTGGAATCTGAAGACTTTGTTTGTATTTTAATAGCAAAAAAGGAAAGAAAAAAATCTGTAAGAATGCTGTAGTTTGAAACCTAACTGCTTAGAAATTAGAGGGAAAATGAACTGTCATTCAAAGTTGAATGTCTGCATTTATGTTTTAAATCCTGGAACAATTACAATAATCGCTCAGACTGTGTCCCCAGTATCTTGGGATAGTGGAAGGTGAGTCATGTTGTGTTAGACTCTCTGCAAGTTGGTGTCCAATGTAATATTCATCCTCCCTGCCTGTTGGCTCTTAGGAAGGAGTACATGCTGGATGTATTTTATTGAAGGATGATAAACAGCCAGCTGGGCAATTTAGAAGTGTTTTTATTTTTAAAAGTGCAAAAAGTCCTTGTTTCACGTAGGCCTAGGAAGCTGTGTTGTCTGTGATTGTTGGTGGTGTGCTCTTGCTCCATACCATTTGTTTTTAATTTCTCCGCATGTTTTTAGTGCTGAAACAAGAGACCACCTTTGAGACTAAGTCTAATGTTTTAAAAGTATATATCAAAGTGTAAGTTTGTTCTTTCTGAATCTTACATTTCAAAACAATTTATATGAGAGGAACGAATGCCAGACTGCATAATCTAAAATTGTCTTATGATATTCAGCTGTAGGTGAAGAGCAGTCTCAGCTGTCAGCTCACTACACAGTAAGTTAGTCTGATATATAAGAAAATTTACAGGCATCTTGGAACCTAATTTGTTTGAAGTTGCTGTCTTGAAACATTTCCTGTTGAAGGGTTTTGAAATAATTCTTTTGGCTGCTGTTTTTACCAGTATCTCCTAGTCCTCAGGAGTTCAGGCACAGCTCAGACTCCACAGCTTCCAGGAGCGTGGTTCCACTGGGTTTTCAGCAGTGGAGATGGTCTAGGATCTTCGCACACAGCACCACAGATAGTCTCAGGCTGATTACCGTCTAAATTTAAAAACAGAAAGAAGGAACTGTTTTTCCCCTCTGCTGCCTTTTAGGTTGCTGGCAGAG